CTTCAAATACATGGTGAAATCCAAACTTTGAGGTGTGTGGGGAAACACATTTCACTCTCTGGATGCAGCTGAAATCTGAGGCCAACTGTATTATGGTGTTTGGACCTAATGACAGCATTTCTCAGAGTGGGTAACATTTAGTCATCTTTCCTATCCTTATTCCACCCATCTCTCATTGAAGAGCTTCATTTCTCTCAAGCAGCTGCACTGGGAACACTTGATACACACCAGCTGGTGGCTTTCACAGCCTCTTTGGCATCTCGTTGAGACCTCCCAGTTGCAGGGTCAATTCTGCCCCTTTTCCAGAGGAGAGAAGTGGGGGGAAGAGTCGAGGAACCCAGTCATGCATGCCAGGTGTACATGGCCACTACCCTGATGAGCAACACTCTTGCTGAAGTCAGCAGGAGCTTCACCTCTCAACTTGGTAGCGGGACCATTTCAGCCCAGTCTTGGGCAGGTCTGAGAGGCACGCTGGGATATACAGCCAGTGGTAGGAAGGCAGTGGGTGATGTGGGAATCATCCCTCTGAGCTCATCTGGGTTCCTAGGCTGCAGAACAAGCATTCCTTCAACCAGGGTATTTTGGCATGTGTCAGGCTGTGCGTTTTCCTCACTGGTTTTCCTAACGTCCCCAGCCCTCGGCAGACATGGTGAAGGAGGTTATCCAGTTTTCCAAGGACACGCTGGAGAAGATCAACAAGGCCCGCATGGAGGGACTTTACCATGAAGTGAGTCCTGGTACTTTTGCTCTCTTGCTGTATACGCACTGCCAGGGAAAACAGGTCTTGTCCCTCTCTACGTCAGTGATTTAAGGATGAACAACCCCCCATTGCTGTAAGCTGAATATCCCTGTGTGCTTCCTGCCCTCTTGGAAGCTCAAATTGCAAACGCTGACAGGTTTCTGCCCTCTATAATGCACGACTGTGTCTGAGGAAACATCCCAGACTGATTTCTTTCATAGTGATGATACAAGGAGATCCAGGTGACTTCCAGCACCTCTGATTGACACAGGTGTTGAACCAAAGGCCTCCTGGGCAAAAAACATGAGTTACAGGGCAAGTGTAATGAGTCAGCTCTGCCAGATAGCCTCATAAAAAGGGTTTGGGAGAGGGACAGGACAGTCAGGATGATTGTCACACAGAGCTGTGGGCTATGATTGCCTGTGTTGACCTCCTCTTCACCTCCTGGTTCCTGCATGTCGCTCATTTGTTGGGTGCCGAGGATGGGTGTGTGGTGTGGGAGACCCATGTCCCACCTGGCGTGGAGACCACAGGGGCAAAGTCACTTCTTCCTTTCTCCCTCTTTTGCTGACTCAGGAAATATTTAATTGTTCTCTTCAGAGTGTAACAGCTTTAGGGAAACACTCCAGGTTGAGCAATAGCCTCTGGGTTTGGACTTACTTTGGGAAAAGGCTGAAGCCCCCCAGAGCAGAAATCTGGACATTGGGTCACAGCTAGGTGCAGATGTGACACAACTGAGCAGACACGCATGAGACAGTGCGGTTCCATGTGTCCAGCCCCGTGGGGTCATTAAGAGCATTCATTGCATCAAGTGCTTGTAGGAGGTTGGGTGGATGGCATTGGGCTATAAGAGTCCTGTAGGCACTTAGTATCTGACAAACCCCAACCTCCTGGGGTCTTTCTTCTCCTGAACAGCAGACATCACTTTTTCCTCAGCAGTTTTATCAATGTAACCCTGGGAGAGAAAGCACTGTTTTGCTAGGCTGATGCTTCTCAACAAATCAAAGCACAGCTTATCTTCCCCAACCTTCATGGGTGCTGACGTGGCCTATAGGACTGGTATGGACCATGCAACCCACAGTGCTTTGGCGTGTCAGCTTCAGGCCCAAAGGTGCTCTGACTTGCCCTTCCTCTCCCTGCTTCCCCCGGGGTGCAGGTCGTGAAGCTGTGCCGTGAGTGCCTGAAGAAACAGGAGCCTGTGCTGGGGGACACAAACATCTACCTCCTGAGGATCCTCAGCATTGCCTCCGAGGTGCTGTCCTACCTCCAGATGTTTGAGGAAGCAGCTGACTACGCCAAGAGGATGGTGGACGGCTACCTGTATGTCTGTGCCCTATTTTTGGCAGCTCTCTGTGGTTATGCAATGTTAGGCAGTGTGTTATAGGAATAATTTTCTTAGTCTGCTCCCATCAGGACAGTGGTGCTGCCATTCACATTGGGACCTGAGTATATCACCAGGCAGACAGGGACCTCTTCTTATATGCACAAGAGCTCCCGAACACCTTGATTTACTGAACTGTAACGGGGAAATGGTTTGCATACATCTTCAGCCTTCTTGTTTTGTCTCAGAAGCATCTCAGGGCTGCCCTGGTAGCAAGACACAGAGCTTGGCTGCAGGACAGAGAAGCTGTTGCTGCAGGAGATGGTCCGTTCTGCTGTGCCCTGCAGGAAGGAGAAGTTGCAGAGAAAAGAGAAACCATGTCAGATGGCTGTCATTCAAGATATCCCTTCACTCGTGAATAATACATGGCTTTCTGTCTTGGCTAATTAGTATACACAAGTCCTGTGGTAAATGCTCAGTGAGAATAAAGAAATTCATGCTTAGTTCACACAGATCCAGGGCAAACCTCACAGTAAAAATTATGTGCTTTATTATTACTGAGGTTTTACTACAGGACTGATGAGTGTTAAATAGCAAGAAAAAAAAAGTAATGGAAACCATAGAGAAGAGAGAAAAGCCCGTTTTGTCATCTTGTTCACTCTCCTGCTGAGAGCGTCTCATACTCATTACTTGTCTTTTTGGTCAGGTCTACCCCAAAAGGCCTGGGATATTTTGTTCTTTTTCGGAGGGATGACAGAATCACCTCCCTGGCTTGCAGGCCTGACAAGCCACTTCATGTCCCAGCCCTGGCACTGAGCTAACTGAATGACACAAAGGAAGGTGTTTCCCCTTCCTGTTCCTCAGTTTTTCAGTCCAGAGTGAGGACTGCAGTAATTTTCTTCCTTGCTTTAAGATCTGCCAATTCAATATGCCAAATAAGCCCTTGAAGGCAGGTTTTCAGGTAAGTGCAAGCAGCTTCTAACTCTGCCTCAGCTTCTAAAGTTGCATGTAGATAGCAGATTTCATTTTTCCCACCTTGGGTACTGACCATAAGGGAGTGATTGGACAGTCCCTGGAGGCAGGGATGCATGTCAAGGGTGTGAACTGAACATTTCTGGAGCTTCTGGCATCCCTTGTTTCTCTCTCTACTTTGAATGAGAAGCTGGTGGATGTTGCATTCTCAATTTAGGCACTGCATTAAGTGTCTGAAGTTAAGTTGATGCCGTCTGGGCTGTAGGGTCAGATCTGGGTTTTGTTTGTGCCAAAATAATGTGGAATGACAGAGCTTGGCATTCTCCAACCCAGGTGTCCAGCTTTTCCCCGTTTGCAGGTTGTTCATCCTCTTTCACAACAACTCACGTCCTCGTATGACTCGTGTCCTCATGTAACTCATGCCTGACCCTTTCTAAGCAGGTCTGCACATTTCAGCGGCACCGAATGCAATAGGCTCTTCGCTTGAGTAAATAGTCTGCTCTTTGGCAAACATATCGAGTCACTGACAAACATTTGGGAACCCAGATCTTTCCTGAACTAAAATTACTCAATGTTTTTCCAGGAAAATATACCATCCCAACAATGCGCAGCTGGGGATGGCCGTGATGCGGGCAGGGGTGACTCACTGGCATGCTGGTCTCATTGAAGCCGGGCATGGCTTGATCTGTAAAGCCTATGCCATTCTCCTGATAACCCATGGACCTTCCCACCCAATTACCAAAGACCTGGAGGTAGGTGTAATCTCCTGTGTCGTCTCTGCTATCTGTCTGGGCAAAACTACATTCAAGCAGTAGAAACAACCCATCTGTACGAGCTGAGATATGTATCAATTTCCCTTCCTATGGGAAATTTTCATCCCTGAAAAATAGCTTTTATCCTGCACCAGGACATACATTAAAAATGGCCGCTGAGCCCCTGAATCTTCTTTGAAACTGCTGTGCCCAAGGTCAGACCCTCCCATTCTTCAAACAGCCTGATTTCACTGCTCTTGGATGGATGGCATTACAATTTCACTATACCAAATTGTGTATGGTTAGGTGTTTCCAGTTTACCAACTGTTTTTCTTTATTGGTGTCCATTCTTCTTTATTTACCAGTCCCCAGTCCTAAGCTGCCATGTATTTTTTCCTTAAATGATGCATAGGTGTATTTCCCAGCTTAGGATCTGTGGACTGTTTCCCTATATATAGCAGAGGGCGAGACCCCAGCACCTCCATTTTGCTATTTCCCTTCCCACTTACTTTAGGAGGAAAACAGTGGATATATGGCACATGCTTATTTCTGTGCTCCTAAACCAAGGGTTGAATAAACTCCAAGTCAGGTGTAAAAGGTTTCCTTAAATCCCTTCTGAGCCTCTGCTGTAATGCCGCACTAGGAATGACTCTGCTTGTGGTGAATCCTGGGATGCCGGTGGTGCAACTGTGATGTGGTCGAAGAGGGGCTGAGCATCCCTCTCCTCCTCCCCTGCCTCCTCCCACATGAGGTGACCCCCACCCCAGTGATGGGTCACAGCAAGGGTCAAGCCCAGGGTGTGGATGGGAAGCGCACTCGCTCCCTGGCTCTGCACAGCATCTCCTCTAGGTCCTGCATCAGGTTTAGGAGCATGAGGCTTCCCAGCAGCCTGTGGAAGAGGTGGGTGCAGGAAGGGCTGATGCATTCTTCACCTTCACAGTACACAGGCCAGCAGGTTTGAGTAAGCAACTGGTTATCTGTGTCCAGTCAGCTTTGGTCCTGCTGGTGGGACACCTTGAGTAAGGTGCATCAGTCATTACATGGCCTAGGACATCCCTGAAGTATGGTCCCCAGTTTTTAGGCAGTTCCTTATTCACTTGCTTCGAGATCCCCTGTGTCACAGGTTTTGTAACCTGTTGTGTCCCTCAGGTCATGCGTGTCCAGACGGAGATGGAGCTGCGCATGTTTCAGCAGAATGAATTCATGTATTACAAGATGAGGGAAGCTGCCCTCAAAAACCAAAAGATTCAAGTCATGCCTGAACCCAGCAATGAGACCTCACCAAGCCTCTTCCACAAGAAGGAGTAAACTCCAAGCTTGACACAAATTCATGCCTGTGGGATAACCTCACCTGTGGTACCTCCAAACATTGGGAATGTGATATAGGAATGTGATATATCCATAAGGATTGTTTCCAGTGGCACCTGTCAGACAGCATGGACCTGCTGAGGGAAAGTCCGGAAAAATCTTCTGATGGCTCAAAGCAGAAGAGATCTTTGCAGAAACCTTTTTCTACCACTAGCATTAAAAATCAAAGAAAAAAAACCTGTTATAAAATTATTTACATTCGTATTGGAAGCCTGTTTCTCTCTACACAAGTCCTGATCCTGAAGTCCTTGGTTGAATTTTTATCGATTCTTTCCTAGGTCGTTTTTTCCCCATCACTTCCTTGTGATGACATAATTTCTTTCCAGTGATGTCCATGGGTAGTTGACCAAGGGACAGTAGATGTGGGAAGCGGGTTCCAAAAAGTGTCATGTATGCCTGTGGGCAGTGAGTGCAAATTGAGTAAGACCCACAGATGGTGTTTTGTGTAAAGTAGTGTTTTTCTGATGGCAAAGTGATGAAAAATGATTCTGCAGCTGACACAGGTGCAACAGCAAACTGTGGGCACTTGGCAAGCGAGACTAAGTGGAATTCCTACATCAGGATAAATTAATTCAGGTAAATCAGTCCCCTTAGTTAAAAATTGGTTTGGGGTGAAACACAGACTGGACACCTGAAGGCTGTCTGGGGCCCTCCTGCTGGTGGGAAGGGATGGGGTGGAGACGGGGATGGGGTGGCCAGAGCCTGCAGGGCTGGATCCTGTTGCAGAGGTGTGAGGATGAAGATGGAGGTTGGGATACCTGAACTGTCCCCGTGCTGGTTGCTTCCCCAAGGCAGCTTTCCAGGCAGGATCACTGACATTTCCTTGAGCCCCACCTAAACCACCCCATGCTTTGCCCTGTCAGTCACCTTGTGGTCACTTTGGCCATGTTTGTAAGGAAAGGGAACAGAGCCCTTTCCCTGCCCAGTGCTCCTCCATCCACCCAGCCAAAGGTGGTGACTCAGGGAGATGCTGGCACCTGTCCCCAGGAAGGGGCTGGAAGAGTGCCCATCAGCACGGAGCACATCTCGGAGGGTCACTCAGCGGCTCTGAGCCTGTGCCCTAGCCTGGCTCCATTCACCAACATCAGCGCAGCCTTGGCTCAGCCTGTTGCCCAATTGCTACCAGGGCTTGTGTGAGTTTTGGAGGCTTGCATCTCTTTATAGCAACAGTGAAGAGGCTTTTAATACAAATTTTACTTTAATGGACACATTTTACACAGTAAAATGGTTGGCGTGTGCAGGGTTTCTAGATTCTCTTGCTGATTCTCTTGTAGGTGAGGTCTCCCATGGTCAGCGTCTGATAACAAATGAAAAGTGTTAGCTTTTCGTGGTGCCTGGCTCCAAACTCTACTTGGAAAGGATCTCAAAAATCAAAGGATCTCAAATCAAAACAGGACTGATCCCCAGTCTGTCTCCTGTAAACTGAATTATTAAAGCTTTGGATTTCTTCATCAATACCCCAAAGCAGGTATAATGTAGCATCCCTCAACTGGGATCAGTCTGCTGCACCTCTCTTTAAAAGCGCCAGGCCCAGACACGTACCTATACCTCTGCGTGGATGAGAACATGCCCTCGTTATGATCAGCAATGCCTACTTGTGTCTTAAAGAGTACTTTTTGGATCAAACTATAATGAAAAACTGCCTTCAGTGCCTGGCCAACGGATCAGCTTTGGGTGCAGAGCCTGAGTACAAGCACGTGCTTGTCCCCAGCACCTCCCTAAGGTCCCCAGCACCTCGTGAATTTCTCCTCCCTCTCTGAAGGCTTTCGAGGGCCAGATCCCTGGAGGCAGCTGTATGCACCATTACTCCAGCCATCACCCTTCACTTCTATACTTACATTGGTGATGGTGTCTCCGCTGAGTTCGGTGACAGATTTCAGCCCTTTCAGGGTTGCGACCAGTCTGTTGTTACCCTCCATCTGAACAATAGCCTGGCAGGAGGAGACAGAGGCATTCATGTTATTGCTGGAGACCATCTCAACCCTTGCATTTTGTTCTTCCCCTTCTGTACTGAGTTGCCACCATCCTCTCTGCAAGCTGTTTGGAGCAAGCCACTCCCCTGGTGATTTTGGCTTTCCTGGGAGAAGGAGGAGAGATGGTTGTGCTGGCGGTGACTACACCACCACAAAGGTATGGATGTTTACTTTGGCCTCTACAGGGATATGATTTTGCCACCATACCTACCTCTCTCCCCTTCAGACCGAGACTCACTCACAGCTCCCTCACTGCTAGATGCCAGAGCAGGGGTCCTTGGCATCCCTTGGCATCACACCAACACATGAGTATTGGGGGAGAAGAAAGAATGCTCTTCACCGTACCAATGCTGGTACCTTCATGCAGCCCTGATGTTCCTTGGGGCAGCTCCTCATGCAGCACGCAGACCAAGAGAAGCTGCACACCTCGAAAAGAGGACTGCAGAGCCACCTGAGCTGGGCCAGGGCATGCTGTGTTGTCTCCTCTCCATCATCCACCTATTGCACATTGCTGCAGCAACCTAGTTGTGGGGGCGTGACAAGGAACTGGGTGACAGCGTGGGGCTGGGGGAGTGTCGGCCAAGGTGGGAAACTATCTAAGGAGCTTTCAGAAACCCAGTCATGGCTGGAAAGCTCTTGAGGACAGGCACATCTGCTGAGTCTCTGCTCCCCAGGAGATGCACATCTAAAAAGGCTACAGACAGCACCAGCACCCCCAGGGCAACTATCACTGATCATTGAAATTGCTCACATAAATAACCCAGCAAAAACCATTTCTGCTCATCTATCTGTCCAGCTATAAGACATGTTCATCTGCCCTTGAGTTGCTGATTTACAGAGGGTAAAACTCTTCTAATAGCCATTTCCCCCTCGTTTATGCTCAAGGGACTTCAGTGATGCTGGAAGTTGTGATACAGCCGGTACAGCTCTCAGAGCCCCGTTCACTGGGGAATTTCTTTGGTGATCATCCCTCCTGCTTTCAAAAGTCCCTGCAATATCATCTTCTCCCAAGGTAGCGGTGAGAGGCAATATTTGCCGGTGGCATTGTCTTGACATTTTATGAGCCATTGGAAACTAATGTCTAGCAATGGGAGCTGACCCAATTTCAAGGATGATAAATCCTCACCTTGCCAAATCATCTCACCCAGTGTAAACAGAAGCAGTGGAAAAGGCTACCAGAGAAGCTAACAGTCGCTGGGACTTAAAAGGAGAGATTGATTGGTTTATGATTCATTAGCTGACTTTCCCGCATTACCTTTAAGTCAACAAAATGAAGGTGGGAGTATGTTTTGTGTTGCAACATGACAGAAAATCAACCCTTTTCCTCCTCTGAAATCCGAAAGATTTCTTTCAGACCTTTTGCTGTCAGAAGAATTTACCAAAGCATCTCTAGCCCCCTTTTCCAAGTGGGCTATTAAAAAACCGGCTTCCAGTATTTTCCAAACTGGCTATTAAAATAGCTTAAGAAATACAAGGCTTCATCTGCAGAAATGCTGTTTAGGAAGCTTGTTTTGTAAAAGCAAAGAGGGGAGGTAGGAACTTCAGAGTCTCAGGCTCTGAGTTTCTTGGGAAGGTGGCTCAGAAATGGACTGTCATTTTCAGAAATGTGTCCCTAAGAGACTTGCTGAGGACCTGCAGGAGCAGGGCAGTGGGTGTCACATCTGCAGACTTGGTTTCAGCAACTAGCCCAGGTCTTTTCCCTGTGTCAGGTTTAACATCTGTGGTCTGGTCATTCTGTTTGCTCAAGTGCAGAGGGAATGGCTGGAAAGGAAATTTAATGTCCCTGAGTCCCCGCAGCCCTGGCAGAGGAGGAGCTGATCACTCACCTTGACTTTCTCTCCCGTCAGCATCTCCATCTCACATTCCTCCCCAATGGTGAACTCATTGTGCAGCACTTTGGAGCCAGTGGTCACGGTAACTTTGAACTTTTTCCCATCCTGCACGATTTCCGAGATGCTCTTGATATCCTTGCCCTTCTGGATCTGGTCATCAGGAAGCCCTGCCCAGGAACAAGAGATGTTAGGCAGGCCTTGGAGCCATCAGTGGGCAGATTGTTGCTGAGAGTGAATGTGGTGGGATTTGGGGACCCACAGCCAGGAGGTTTTCTATTCCAGTGTGGAAAAACCTTGCAATAATGATGGTTCCCCAAGGGCCACATGGCCCTGAGTCTGCTGGGGAGGAAGAATAAAAAATACTGTCATCCTGGGTTTTGTGTGGGAACTAGACATCTCCCTTGTCTCACCAACCTGGCTGGGAGCAGAAGAGCTAACTCCCTGGCTAAGCATCAGACAGAAAGAAAAAAATCCTGTTTTCCTTCCTTCACTGAGAGGCAAGTGGAGAAAATGGAATAAATTGAGGCAGAATGAGGGAACCAAGTGGATTTTTAATGAGATTTGAGGTCCCTCAGAACCAACTCACTAAAGTTTTCTCCCAAAGCCTGAAGCTGCTCTGACAGGTAGAAACCCTCTGGCACATAACTGTGGAGAACTAGTGCAAAGCCTTCTGAACCCTGCAGGAGCATGTTCCCTGGCATGGAGACCGGTGCAAACCTAGCTAGCCACATTCATCATCAAGCATGTAAACAACCCCAACTATTTTTCTGGTGAATGGTGGAACCTGGGGCTTTGCAGTATTGCCGAGCAGCAGCACGGTGGGCTGAGTGATGTCCTGCTTGCCCTCAAATTTCACAGCCTGATGGAGCAGATCTGTATTTGCCCTAAGCCACCAAGGTCCCACTGGCTTATCACGTGTGTGCAGCACTCTGCTGCGCTGGCCCGGGGCTGCAGAGCCTGCTGGGACCGTTCTCCTGCAAGCCATAAAATTTCAGCCAGCATCTCTTGACCTCCAGCCACCAGCCAGAGAGACGCTTTCTCTTCTTTTTTGAGATCACATCTCCATGCACATGCTTTTAAGAAAACCCATCAATTGCAAGACGACAGGCAGAAATAGGAAATCAGAGAGCTGTTTTCAATCTACGTGCTCAGCACATCAGCAGTTGGACTCCCAAATATCAGTGGGCTCTGCGGAGGCAAAGCAGCACATAGCACACGCAGGCACTTACCGAGGGCTTTCATAAAAGGCTCAAAATTTTCCTGGGACTGGAGTTCGTACTTTCCAGTGAAGCTCATGATGGAAAGGCTCCCTGTGCTCCCAGCGGAGGAGAAGGTGCCTTGCTGGTAAGCAGAGCTTGGTTTTATAAGGTCCTTTTGCCTTAAAAGTTGGTCAGAGGTAAGATGATGTAATTCTTTTACGGCCATGTTCAAACATTAACATAAAACTGGGCAATGGTCAGTGATAAATTGCTCTACATTTTACAGACCTCGATTTACAACGTGGGGGCAGGGAAAACCCCATAAAGCCATTTTATGGAGGTACCAACGTGGCATCCATAAACAAATTGTAAAAAACATAATTGTGCAAAGCGATTAATTATCAGAGCAGCTAGCCAAATCACCTCATCACCTTGCAGTGTGGAAGCGCACATCTGGAAGAAGAGAAAGCGGTGAAGGATGATGGTGTCCGCTGGAGCTGACACCGATGGGCTTCTGCTCGCTGACCTGTGCACGCTGCGTCTTTAGCACTGGGGTGAAGAGTAACGGCTGCACGCCGGAAGCGACTAACTTGCTCCTCCCGATGCCTCGCGGTCCTCTGTAATGGTGGGGTTTGGTGTAACCCAGCAGTCACAAAATCATCATTGTCCCCTGAGGAAAAAACTGTCGCGGTTTAACCCCGGCTGGCAACCGAGCACCGCGCAGCCCCTTCCCTCTGCCAGCGCCGCACCAGAAGCAGGACTCGGGGCTGGGCTCCTCTCCCGGTGTGGTCCCCTTGGCTGAGCGTCCTGGGTCGCTGCACGGTGCCTGAGCATCCATCCTCTGGGTCTGCACTCCCAGGCTCAGCTTCCTACTCCCATCTCCTCCCCTGTCCCAGTGAATTTCTCCTCCCTCCCGAAGTCACCAGCTCAGGGATTTTACCCCTTTTCACGCCTTCTCCTCTTTGCAATTCCTTCATTCTGCCTTCTCATAGCGTCTTTGGCCTTTTTTGAAGTGAAATGACAGATAGGTATGAAAAAACCCCATCTCCCTCCAATTTGGAGATGCTGCCCGGGGCTGCCGCCTGCCTGCGCTCTCAGTGCCGCAGTGCTGCTCCTGGCGCTGCCCGGGCTGGATTTAGCCTCGGTTTCTGCTTAGTTAGTGTGGGCAGCATCTGCCCGACGAGGCAGGAGAGGGAAAACCTCTACCGGTGGGGCAGGCGGTGGGTGAAGTTGGCCGGGGGGTGTCCGCAGGGGACATCACCCCTCCGCACCACAGAGGGGCCAGGCAGGCTCGGAGGGCACTCATGGAGGGCGGGTTGATTCAGCAGTTTCTCCAAACAGCTTTTCAGCTTTTTTCCCTTTTTTATCCCCCGCTTTCCCACAGGAATGATGCCACCTTAGGAACCGCATTCCATTTTTTCCCCCCACCGCCAGGCCACACGTCCCTTTTCAGTGTCGTCTTCGTGGGGACAGCGGTGACTGACCTCTATGGCCGCATCCTGGCAGCACCCGGGGCCGGCGCAGCTGGAGCTGGCAGCTCCCTGCCTCCCGCCAGGCAACGTCCTGTGGCCACGGGCCACCTGGAGGCACACGTATGCCTCCCACGCGTTCATGCCCTGGGCCTCTGGCTGCTCCTCCAGGCAATTCGGGTCACCTCTCTTTGCGTGATGGGGACAGAGACTCAGACTTGAAAAAAACACCTGAATTTTTTTCTGTCATCTGACTCGTTTCAGAGCCCAGAGCTCCCGATGTGCTGTGGGGTGAAAGCTCCAGCCCTGCACGGCTCATTCTTCTCCCACCGTCGTCAACTGGAGCAGCCTGGAGTTGTGGTTTTCATTCATTTTTCAGTGAGATGCATGCCCAGACCGGCCACGTCTGACCACATCCCACTGCCGGGGGAAGCCCAGTTGTGACCCATTTCCAGGTGCAGGCTAGAGACAAGGGGTAGCCACTAAGTCAGTAAAGAGAGACCTTTCTCAGGTAACTTCAGCAACATCCAGTGCAATGAGTACCTCTGAGCTGACATCTAGCTGAAGGAGAGAAATAGGAGCAACATGTCATGAGTAGTGTCCCAGGGCTGCCTATCCCCCTCCAGCCTCTCCAAAAGCCTACATGTCTAGGGCGTTTGTAAACACTTCATATTGTCCAAGATGAATCCAACCTTAGGTGCTTGAAGGAGCACCTTATTTTCCCTGGCCCCCAAGGAAGCCTGACATCTCGGCCACCTCAGACTTCCCAAGCCCACAATCTCCCAGGGAGACCCACGCCAGCTTGAAAGGAGGTACAACCACCAAGCTAATGAGACCCGAGCCTAAGATAGGATTCGGAAAAGCCTACCAGGTTTTGTCCCACAAACTTTTAAATGGTTATCATGCCTAATCTGGGAAGCTGCACCACTTAGAAAACCAACACAAGTTGGGTGAGAACTCCCCCTGGGCAGACCATGCTCCTAAGGTCTGGATGTCACCCATCAAATGTTAAAAGGGGAATATAATTATTCAGGACTCTCATGGTAATTGGGCAGAAATTGTTCAAGTAGTTGGCAGAAATGGACAACTCATGAGAGAATTCACCCCATTTGGGACACAAGATTTTTTCTGCAGGTATCCTCTCCTCTTCTACTTATTGTGGATAGCTATAACATATCTATGCTCCCAGCTTCGGTGCGTTGGATAAATGTGGACTACGTATTACTGCTGGCAAGTTTGGAAATGCAACACACTGATTTTTGATCAATGATCAAAAATAAAACCTCTTTTTGTCTGCAAGTGTTCCGTTGGGCTCACGTTCTTTTATTTCCCCTGGTAAAGAAATACGTAAGTTTTTATAAAAAAAGAAGAAACCCTTACTGAATGAAATTTGGCCAGGGTAATTATTATCTAGCTGGGCCTGCTGAGCAAATGGCAGGTGAGATAAACTTAATCTCAATAGCAAAGTTCAGAATACTTGCACATCTCCCTACCAGAATACAGGATCTTTTAAAATATGACACCACTTTAACTTTCCAGGGCCAAGAAAATGCACCTGATTTGCATTAACACAAGGCTGTGTCAATTGACCATTTGATTAAAACTAAATCCCTACCCTAAAACCTGGACCTGGATTGTAGAAAGAGAAAAGGCATGCATCATTTTCAAAAATTATCGAGGAAGCTACATCTTGTGGGAAGCCAGCAGGTACTTTTGTGTTTAAATTGTTTTGAAAATAAAGCATAGGATCGTAGAAGCTTGTCAATAAAAAGGACCCAAGTGTCTCATTTCTGCTTTTTGCACACGAATCAAAGATACAGACACGCAAAACTTCTCAGCTCCCTCCTAGGCATGGAGGTATTCGAATGCTCTGTGTCCCAAAGTGATGAATCAGAGAAATGTCGGTTGAGAGGAAAGGTCTCTGGTTCAACCTCCTGCTCAAAGCAACATCACCAACACCGGATCAGCTCAGCCATGGCTTTGGCCAACTCTCAAAAACCACCTCCTCTGCCTCTCTGGGTACGCATCCTGGGGTGGCACCACCCACCTCCTGAAGAAGAGATGCTCAACCCAAACCTCCCAAAATGCAATTTGTGGCCGGTGCCTCATGTTATAACATCTTCCATAATCAAGAAGAGTTTGGCCCCGTCATCTCTGTAGCTGCCCATGGAGCAGCTGCAGGTTCTTATCACCTTCCTTCAATCCTTCCCTGGGATTCCTGGTCTTGGCTTCCAGTTTCACTCAGTGTCTGCCAGGGCACTGGGAAACCACCCTCCTACGAGTACTGCTTCTTGACAATTTGGACGTTATGGTGGGTACCAGGATTTTGAGTCTTGGGGCTCCTGCAGCAAAAATCCTTCTCTGCTTCCTCCAGTTTGAACTAAAACTCTTTTTTAAGCTCTGAATTACGAAAAGGACTTTACAGCCAGGGCACTGTGTGGGGAGAGGCACTTTTACCCAGGATGGGGTACCTGGCAACCTTGTGGAGGTCTGGGAATGTCTAATTACACCTCACCTCTATCTCCTCTCTCACTCTTTTTATTTATCCCATCAGTGACTCCAGACTTTGTGAAGCCTTTGGTTTCACCTCAGTGCTTTGGGAAGCTGGGACTGAGCTCTATGCTAAGGACTTTCTTAGCCCAAATATGAAAGGCTACAAGACAGGGCTTTTGCCAATTCAGTCATGGATTTCTCTAATGCAGGTCCAGTTGGACACTCCAAAACTCCTAGCCATTTTTTGAAGAGCTTGGTCACAAACTTGCCAATCACAGATCCCTAGGTGGGCTTCCCTCTGTCTCAACCCATATTATTGCTTGGGTCATCCCTATTTCTGCAGTGCTTGTACCTGGGAACTTGATCTGCTGCCCAGCTTTCACATCTTTGGTCTGATTATTCTTAACCTTGAGGAGCAAAGTTTTCCTCAGCAGGTCACATGGCTGCATTGCTTCAAAAGGTTGGATGGGATGGGAAAAGATGCTGCTGCTGCCACGAACTCTCTGTCCCTCTTGGTTTCCACAAAGTTTTCGTTGTGCTGTGTTACCAAGACAGCACTGAGATGAAATAAGGCACCTTTCCCAGATTTTTCTCCTTTTAAAAAGACCGTGGCAGTCTCTTGGAGTCTGGCTGCCTCCAAGCTGTAACTTCCAAGTTGTAGACATGCAAGCACCAGTTCATGTTGGTTTAGATTAGATATGCCATTATCAGACCCTTGATAAGACTGCTGAAAGTGGCGGCTTGTACAGAGCGCTGCTGCTTGATAAAGCTTTCCATTAATGCCAAAATTCAGTGAAGGGCAGCCCTCAGCCCTTGTCATCTTATTACCTCATACAAAGGTCCCAAAGGGAGCAAAGGCTCAGTATTGCTTCTCCAAGTCCAAGGCAGCAGTTTCACTGATAGCATGAGACCTATCACTGCCTTAGCTTTGCTTGCCAATGATCACCTGGGGACCAGAGCTTACAGAAGAGCTGTTGGGCTCTTGCCTTACAGCAGGAA